GAAAGAGTGGATAGAAAGGAGATAGAGCTCACTAGTATAAACTTCTTTGTAATTTCAGATGAGCTAGTAGTAGTAATATGAGAGGGATGAAAGATTTTAATAGGAGTAATTTTTTGTGTTGTAAACAGAAGGGTAGGCTCAAGTAGGAAGAAACTAAAGATAGCATAAAGAGAATTGACTACTGATGGAACATGACCCCAGAGGAGACAGAAGGAGAATGAGATGTAGGACCGCTAATAGGAAGGGCAGACCTTAGAAAGGGACATGTTACCATTCTAGGTAGGAGAAGAATCTGAAATAAAATATAGAAAAGTAGAGGTCCAGTAGAGAAAAATTGAGCGTATTCAAATTGAAAGTCCTCAATTGTCCTAAAGATGGAGGCAAGTTCTTCATACCCAGAAAGAGAGGGAAAGATTTCATGACTAGAGGATAGTAAGAAATATTTTAATTATTGAGGCAACAGTTGACAAAAAGTTTATTCAATGTATACCCTGAAATAAGCAGACAATTCAGTAGAGAAGACAATAAAGGATAAAAATAAGCATAATTAGGAACCCAACTGAGAAGAAATAGCATGAACTTTTAATAGAATTCAGCAGCATGGTTTCATAATTTTGCCCAGCTTCTGAAAAGCTGTTATTAAAGGAAGTTAATGGTCCCGCACAGGGTTGGGAACTGAAACTGTGAGAATGACAGGCAAGCATAGAGGAATGAAAGATAGATTCCAGAGGTCAGCGAAGACAGTATTGGCATCATGGTCTAAGCAGCGATGTGAATGAATACTGAGAGAAGTGTAGAATCTAAAGATTGTAATTTGGGTGTGGAACAAGCTACCAGAAATGAAGAAATAAAGTGCTTGTAATCAGAAACGGAATGCTCTAAGTTTGAGAAGTAAAACAGTAAAATTTTGAAGTAAAATAGTCCCGAATCAAGCTAATTATAATGCCCTTTCCTCAGTTTCAGAGGTTAAATAAGGAACTATGAAGCCAAGGTATCAGACAGGCCAGAAGTAGACATAAATGAATGTGGCAGAGGATGAGAGGGATGGAGAAGATGACTGACCAGGCATCAAGTCAGATGGGGTGTTATGATGGAGGTCATAAACACAGCTATAAGGACAGGGCTTCGATGTCAAGGTTCAAAAATAGAGGTTGGTAGAGAGAAAACAATAGCCTAAAAAATGACAGTAAAGGATAAGAAACTTTTTCAGGCTGATCATATCTTCAGGTGCAATTCAGATTTCAATTAAGGTAAAGAATTGGAAGTTCAACTTGAGAATCAGTCTAGAACAATAGGAGACTTTGCTTCATAGTAGAACTAGGAAGCAAAGTCAGCAGGGAGTGACTGATAGAGAAGCAGGTACACACAGCAGGAAAGTAAAGGGTTAGTTTGAATAAGAAATAAGCATTGCTCCCTGCCCACATTCCCCTATCACCCCTTTCCAGGTGACCCTTCTAATCCCTAAAATTACCTGTTAGGCATTATACCCCATTTAACAGATGAAAAAAATCTGGTTCTGGAATTTGAATCTTGTCCTAACTGCAAAATCTAAAGCTTTCTACCACAACCTACTTACTCTCAGTGGTTTTAAACTGTTGCCGCAGCCTTCAAGGACTAACTGGAAACCACGTCTGACATACGAAATGGGTATGAAACGCATTTTTTTTTTTAGGTATATTTTACATATACAACATTATATTAGTTTCAGGTGTACAACACAATGATTCAATGTTTGAATATATTGGGAAATCAACACAATAAGTCTAGCTAACATCCGTCACCACACATATTTACGTTTTTTTCTTATGATAACTTTTAAGATCTACTCTCTTATGCAATACAGTATTATTAACTATAGCTACCATGCCATATATTACATCCTCATGACTCATTTATTATGTAACTGGAAATTTGTACCTTTTGACCCATTTTCACCTCACATTACCCCTCACCCCTGGCAACCACCAATCTGTTCTCTGTATCTATGAGCTCTTTTTGGTTTTTGTTTTTTTTAAGATTACACATATAAGTGAGATCATATGGTATTTGTCTTTCTGATTTATTTCACTAAGCATAATGCCCTCAAGGTCCATCCATGTTGTCTCAAATGGCAAGATTTCCATCTTTTAATGGCTGAATACTATGTATATGTATATACTATATATATACACCACATTTTTCTTTATCCATTCATCCATTGATGGATACTTAGGTTGTTTCCATGTCTCAGCTATTGAAAATAATGCTGCAGTGCACATGGGAGTGCAGATATTTTTTCAAGTTAGTGTTTTTGTTTACTTCTGATAAATACCCAGAAGCAGAATTGCTGGATCGTATGGTAGTTCTATTTTTAAGTTTTTGAAGAATCTCCACACTGTTTTCCATAGTGGCTGCACCAACTTACATTCACACCAACAATGCACGAGGGTTCCCTTCTCTCCTCATCCTCACGAACACTTTTTATTTCTTGTCTTTTTTTTTTGTTGTTGTTGTTGTTGTTGTTGTTGTTTTGCGGTACGCGGGCCTCTCACTGTTGTGGCCTCTCCCGTTGCGGAGCACAGTCTCCGGACGCGCAGGTTCAGCGGCCATGGCTCACGGGCCCAGCCGCTCCGCGGCATGTGGGATCCTCCCGGACCGGTGCACGAACCCGCATCCCCTGCATCGGCAGGCGGACTCTCAACAACTGCGCCACCAGGGAAGCCCTATTTCTTGTCTTTTTGATGATAGTCATTCTAACAGATATTAGACGATATCTCCTTGTGGTTTTGATTTGCATTTACCTGATGAATAGTGATGTTGTGCACCTTTTCATGTACTTGTTGGCCATCTGTATGTCTTATTTCGAAAAATGTCTATTCAGATCCTCTGCCCATTTTTCATTCAGATTGTTTTTTTGCTGTTGAGGTGAATGCACAATGTGTTGTTCTTGAATTATATTCAGCTCTAAAAAGTTTTATGTCAGCTTACATATCTAATCCTCCTATTTAAATCTTAAATTTGTTTTCAAGAGAAACATGTTGGATTCTTTTCCTTAATCAGATTAAGGAACTTCCAAATACCTTCTAGATGATGACACTGAATTTCTGCAACTATACCCTAAAACCCTAAGTTAATATTTATATTGCATTATTTTTCAGGTGTGAAAATGAAACCAAATTCAAAACAGAAGAAGTATTTTGGGCTTACAATTTCTGCCCTACTCCATACTCCTGGACTGCACTTCTGGGCCTTATTTTATATCTTGTTTTCTTCGCACCTGGTAAACAAAGGCTTTGTTGTTATTATTGTTATGTTAATTAAATTGTCTCTATTTAGAGGAGAAAAACTCTTTTAAATTACTACATTTACTGAAATTATTTTGTATTTCTCAGGAATGGGACCAATGCCTTGGACTGTGAATTCTGAAATATATCCCCTTTGGGCAAGAAGTACAGGAAATGCATGTTCATCTGGAATAAATTGGATTTTCAATGTTCTGGTTTCGTTGACATTTTTACACACAGCAGAGTATCTTACATACTATGGTAAGAGAATATTTTTTCCAGCTATAGTTTCATTTTTATTTTCCTACTCTATTTTTAGATATGCTATCATTTGTGATTGAAAGATTAGATGGTTATATTTTTGCTATTATAAATTCTCTATATGGCTTTCTTATTCCCCACAGTCCTTGGAAATGTTTCTGGGAAAAGATAAGAGGAACTCTCCTTTCCTAAGCAGTATTGCTTATAGCCTTCACCCACCCACCTACACTTCAGACCCAAACATCTCCCACCTATCTCCCCAGTTGGAAATCTTCATAGCAAGGCCTTTAGTTTAATGAAAAAATATAAACAGAGAATGGTAGGAAACTGCAGGAGTCTAGGGCTAATGCTTGAAGATGTCTCATAACAGGGATGGAGTGGTATCCAAGAGTGGAAGTAGGGTTAAAGTAGCTCCCCCAAATGTTGTGCTATCATCTGTGCTGTTCAGGCCAAAGCATTTCAGGATCCACTGAGACCAGCGCTTACCACTGCCAAAACTATAAATGTGGCAGAAGCGTTCAAGTGAAAATGTGTGGAGACCGTAACTTGAAGAAAACAATCTTGAGAAGTGACTGAGTTAGGAAAAAACTTTGGGAAGCTACTTCAAGTTTATCTTTGCTAAAATGAAATGATTTTGGCTTTTTAGCAAGAGGATTTCTTCACTGTATGAGTTTATAGCTGTGACTGGATTCTAAATGATGAAATAGGAGGTTTTCATTCTAATCTCATGAGCCTGTGTGATGGTATATTGAATGCCTATTGCTTAGTCCATTCTCTGATCCCCTCCCCCATCTCTCACCTCATCTCACCCCATCCCATGTTCTGGCTACTTATAATTCCTTTTTGTAAGAACAGGTTTATTTGTCAGCTCCCCTACCCCACCCCTCACTACTGGACCATAAATCCCTTGAGCTTAGGCCAGGATTATGCTTTGTTCACCATTATATTCCCAGTGCCCTCCAGGGCATCCTATTCACTTAATAAGCACTCAGAAGTATTTGTCAAATGAATAAATACACGGATGAACTTTTAGATGAATGGTGAATATGAGGAAACATTATAAAAGTCTATTCCTCTCTTCTGAACATGCTGAATTGATATTTACTTTTATTTAAAACTATTTATCTAATGCTTTTTTTATCTTTATAAAACTCTCTGCCGATCACCATTTGGGACATTTAGAAATATTTATTTTCTTGGTAAAGGAATGCACTGGCATTTTAAACTGGGTATATATTTAGTATATTCAGCCTTATCCCATTTGGCAATTAAAATGTTTTACATAAATTTGTAAGCTTATCTTCCTAACAACATAAATATGAACACAATAAATATTTATCCATATTTTCTGATTCTTGAGAACACTTAAATATTTGAAGACCTAAATATAGACTAATATCTTGAGAAAGCATTTTTTAATAGAAAGTCATAGACCAAATAATAATAGTCTATGTGGTAAGACTTTTGATAGCAAAGCACCTCTTCCTTGAATAAATTCTGTCAGAAAAACATGAGGCAACAGAAGCAAAATTTAAATATGGCATAGCCAGGCTTCTTTCAGAAATATCTCCTTGGAAGAAGCTTTTTGCTTTGCATTAAGCCAAGCTTCTATCAGGTCAGCACACTGTCCATTAGGTCCTCACTAGTGGAACAATATCTCAGCTCAGGTTAGATTTTCCCTATTTATTGCTCTATATTTCAATCTATAGGTTACTGATTTATGTAAGGTATATGTTTATATTCCTGATTTAACAAATATGCACCATAATGATGTATTTCTCTGGAAATATTCATGTCTTCTTTTACTTCCTTTTATTGTTTCATAAGACCTCAAGTTTTTTTTGTTTGTTTTCCAACATCTTTATTGGAGTATAATTGCTCTACAATGGTGCATTAGCTTCTGCTGTATAACAGAGTGAATCAGCCATATGTATACACATATCCCCATATCCCCTCCCTCTTATGTCTCCCTCCCATTCTCCCTATCCCAACCCTGTAGGTGATCACAAAGCACCGAGCTGATCTCCCTGTGCTATGCAGTTGCTTCCCACCAGCCATCCATTCTACATTTGGTAGTGTGTATATGTCCATGCCACTCTCTCATTTCGTCCCAGGTTACCCTTCCCCCTCCCCGTGTCCTCAAGTCCATTCTCTACGTCTGCATCTTTTTTTTTTAATTGGAGTATAATTGCTTTACAATGGTGTTAGTTTCTGCTTTATAACAAAGTGAATCAGTTATACATATACATATGTCCCCATATCTCTTCCCTCTTGTATCTCCCTCCCTCCCACCATCCCTATCCCACCCCTCTAGGTGGTCACAAAGCACAACGCTGATAACCCTGTGCTATGCAGCTGCCTCCCACTAGCTATCTGTTTTACGTTTGGTAGTGTATGTATATCCTTTTTTTTTTTTTTTTTTAGATTCCATATATATGTGTTAGCATGCAGTATTTTTTTCTCTTTCTGACTTACTAAACTCTGTTTGACAGACTGTAGGTCCATCCACCTCACTACAAATAACTCAATTTCGTTTCTTTTTATGGCTGAGTAATATTCCATTGTATATATATGTGCCACATCTTCTTTATCCATTCATCTGTCGATGGACACTTAGGTTGCTTCCATGTCCTGGCTATTGTAAATAGAGCTGTAATGCACATTGTGGTACATGATGTCTTTTGAATTATGGTTTTCTCAGGGTATATGCCCAGTAGTAGGATTGCTGGGTCGTGTGGTAGTTCTATTTGTAGTTTTTTAAGGAACCTCCATACTGTTCTCCATAGTGGCTGTATCAATTTACATTCCCACCAACAGTGCAGGAGGGTTCCCTTTTCTCCACACCCTCTCCAGCATTTATTGTTTGTAGACTTTTTGATGACGGCCATTCTGAAGACCTCAGGTTTTGATTCCTTCCTAAACTATACTGCCTAGAAGGGTCTGCCTTGGACCCCATTCAGTAATGTTTATTACTAAAAATTATCATTAAAATGTCACCAGTATATCACTTTATTTATAGATAAATAAATAGATAAATAATAAATAAATAAATAAATAGATCCCTTGGTGAGCATTATTATTAAAGTTCCTGTGTTGAAGTACTGAAATTCAATCAAACATGGTCTTTAATTCCTCATTTTATGTGATTCAATTAAATATTTGTTTTAATCTGAACTTAATATAGGATTCTAATAAGATTTATTTCCTTTAGAATAAAGCTGAGGAATATCTGCACTCTTTAACAATCCTGGCAGACTTGTTACAGACATTTTTTTCATTTTCATTCCAAGGGGGCATAATTAAGAAAGTGAGTTACATAATTGACTTGCCCATTACATGGAGCAGGTCACAGCCTCCCAGGCCTGCCTACACCTCACCTCTGTGGCTTAACCACGGGTCTCACCAGTGAAGCCCATATACACAATTTTGGCATTTGCCTTCTTTAGATCACTCAGATTTTTATAAAAGGAATAGAATTTCCTTAATGTTATTTGGCTTTGGGAATCTGGTTCACACACAAGAAACTTCATGGCCTTTAAGAATCTTCGTAATCCATCTACTTGTTTTTGACTGTATGAGTTTAGTGCTAACAGATTTGATTTGTTACTTCTAATCATGCCACTGTACCTAAATTGTGAAAGATGATGAATTTTTCTCAATATTATATTTTATAAAGCCAGACTATATTTACTCTGTTAGATATATTAGAGTTTAGCGTCCTGATTTGGTCTAAAATGTTTTACCCTGTGCACTTATTTTTTTCTGTATTATCAACATGATTACCATCCTTTCTTTGCCCCTCCCCACAGAAGATTCCGTTTCTCTTCTTATGTCCACAATTTTGCTTATCTGTATTCAGAACACAGGACTTCATCTCCTATCATTTTTTTCTCAAAATTCCACAGTCTCCAAGAGCTAGCTTGTCAGTATCACCCTTTAGATGAAAACATTACCAATTTATTAGTCATGCTGATCTTACTAGCAACTATTCTTCCCTAGTCATTTAGTAGAATTTAATAATGCGGTCTATCACTCTTTTGAGCAACTAACATCCAAAATTCTAATAGGAATGTAACATACATTTTTTCTATTCTTTGCAGTTTAGCCAGGCAGAATTTATTTTCCCTGTCAGATCAGGAAACAAGGTCAAGACAATTCAAGAAACTGCTCAAGGATTCAGCCTGCATCACTTTGTGACTTTCAGACCTACACTCTCTACAGAGACATGGTGCCTTTCTCTCACTATAACACTCAGCTATTCATTCCAGATGACCTATTATTATTTTCTGATTATTTATCAAGTATAAGACATAAAAATATATAAACTTGTAGTAAGTGTTTAATGTAAACCAAACTGAAATGAAGTAATTTTATTTATTTATATTTGTAAATGGAATTGTATTTTTATTAAAGAAGGAATTTGATTTATTCAGGTCCCACTCCTTAAGAATTATATAGCTTCTGATGATTTAATCTAACAAATTATGTCTTGGTTTAGTCAACCCTTTCATATTTTTCCTAATGTCTCATAGTTTACCTCTGTTTCCCTTTTATTTTCTCATGGCTCCTCATTCCAAAGAGCAGATTCTTTGGAGTGGCCAATTCAGCAGCATTTTTCCTCTCTAGTTTTCCTTGAGTCTTCTCAAGAAATGTTTCTGTGGATAGTACTGAAATGGTTACTTATAGGCCTCCTAAACTACTTTATAGGCCTAAAAACTACTTTAAGAAAGTAGTTTTAGTAATGTTTTTCCACATTCTGTAATGATTCAGCAGAACTGAGAAATACTATTCAGTTCTTTAATTGCTGTACTATTTAGCTTATAGCTTGACTTTCAAATATGTCTTCATGACGTCGAGTATAGCCCTTTATTTCAGATCTGCTACACAGTGTGTTCCATCTGGCAGTCAACAAGAGAACACTCCAATGTGTCCGCACTGTACTAGGAACCCAAAGACAAGCCATAGACTCTGTCGTTGAGGAGACCACTTTTGCTGGTCTCCTCCTCAAGCGTCTCATAACCATCTTTCCTATACCAGTCCTGATTTGGGTTGTAAAACTTAACAGAATTATAATTTAAACCATAAATTTAAATAGGAGCTGAGAAATGATTTTACTTAATGAGGAAACTGAGGTCCAGGGAGGAGGTTAAATGACTGTCTAGAAGTCACATAGCAAGACTTAAACCAGATCTTCCAACTCCCAATCTGATATCCTTTCTCCAGCCATTTGTCTTTTAAGACCAGAGATATCCAGGAATGGTGGGAGGTGGTCATCTTTGGATTGTGATTGAAGGTAGATCCAACAGCATTTTCTAACAGAGTGGGTATTGGGTGGGAGAGTAAGAGAAAACTCAAAGTTGACTTCCAGACTTTGGGCATTGACCCATGAATTCAGCAATATCGTCATTGAATGTGGTTCTGGAAATACGAGACAAATGAGAAGGAAATTTCTCCCTCAAAGTGCCTCAAGTCTAGTAGACAAGACAGACAAATATATTTACATAACTGTAATACTTCTTGGTTGTTATATACCACTTTGCCTCAACAGCGTTTTGTGAAAACACAATTAACTCTAACCAGGGAAGTGAGAAAAGACTTCAAAGCAGAAGTTATATCTGAGCCTGGTCTGTCATTCTTTTTGAGTTTGATTACACGACTTGAGTTTAGAAAGACAAATTGCATTATATTCACAGCATTAGAACAATTAGAATAAACGAGGCTGGAAGCAATTTTTTGGTTCCATCTCAGACCACAGTCATGCATGATTGACCAGAAAGAAAAGTTAAAATCAAGTACCCTTTCCAATGTAAACCTATACATATATATTATTTCCCATTGCAGGAGCCTTCTTCCTCTATGCTGGATTCGCTGCTGTGGGTCTCCTTTTCATCTACGGCTGTCTTCCGGAGACCAAAGGGAAAAAATTAGAGGAAATTGAATCACTCTTTGACAACAGGCTATGTACATGTGGTGCTTCAGATTCTGATGAAGGGAGATATATTGAATATATTCGGGTGAAGGGAAGTAACTATCATCTTTCTGACAATGACGCTTCTGATGTGGAATAATTGTGATCTGCTGATATATTTAGTCATTTAAACAAACTTGGGAGAGAAGAACAGCAATTGGTGACCTCACTGCCCTGCTTTTAATCTGGTTCTTTCCACAGTCTAGTTTTGAATGACTTCATATTCTAGAATATTTGATTCCAAGGAAGATACAATCACAATGACATCTTTTTTCACAAGCAGAGATGTAAAAAAAAATCTACAGAGATTTTAAACTAATAGTTATTAAGCAAATGTGTTTAATTCCTTCCTGAGATAGTTTAAAATGAATATTGTACCCAGTGACTTCCGTGATAATCCTTTTTTCCTAAGACTATATATAATTATTAGTGGCAATTGAGTCAGTGCTAATCTAGCCAAATCATATATGTGTGATATATACTTACAGCAGAGGATTCTAAAGTATGGTCCAAGGGTATTTTCTGTCAAAGCATGGCCTGTTGGCCCTAAATTCTCCTAAGGACACGGAGCTTACCTGTGATCAGCTATTAGAAAGTAAACTCCATTTAAGCTTTCATCAACAAATTCAAAAGTGCATCCTACAGGGGCATAGCTGTCCTTATATCCTTTGGATCCCACATTTTGGTTTGTCTCTCCAATTCAAATCTGGAAAGTTCTTCAGAAGCTGACTCTGTGTAGGATCATTTGAACATTATGAAAAGCAGGGCTTTTAGGGTTTATTTTCCTACATATTTTTTGCATCAGTGAGAAGTATACATTTGCACAGATTAGCTAGCAAGTTTTGATAAGTATATTTTATTGCTAGAAAGTAAGAAAGAAAAGATTTTTATGGACCTTAAAGATTTTTAACCCTGAGTTAGTCACTTAGGTGTGCAACTGTAAACACAAAATAGCACTAGATCTTCAACTGTGTTTCAGGGTCAGTTTTTGTTCATGCCAAAATCACCAGATATTCACCATGCCTTCACTCATCCACGCTGGAGTCCTAGTATTTGTGCCTTCATTTGTGTGATATAAATAACTTCTAACAGACTATTTTTCCCCTTCTTTTAATCAAATAATTTCTGAAACAAGAAAGGAAGGAAGAAAATCAGTGGCAGAAATAATCCTGCTGTTACTGATGTTTGTTTAATTAAGTAGTGGGACTTCTATTTTTCTTAACTTTTTATTAACTCTTACTAAGGGAATTGTCACATTTTGTTACTTACGGTACTCGTCTTTTTTTTTCCTTTTAATTCTGAGAGCATAAACTCATTTTTATTTTTCACACCCTTTCTCATTTTACCTGACATTCTATATTAAAAGATACATAGATTTGTCTGTGGGTTTTTCCTTTGTCTCATGCTTGGCTTGGATTTTTTTCCTCCTTGTCTAAAAATTGGGACTTTCTACTGGAACAGATTAATGGTTCTCATATAATACGTCTTTAAGAGATGTTGACTTACTACATTTCTACAATATCTTTTCAGAGTGTTCATTGGTTTTTATGCTCATTCATCAGTGAACTCCAATTTTCACTCGTATGTTAAGAACTATATAGTATGTACAAAATCACTCACAAAATTACTTGCTAGTTCCAGTGGAAATACGAATGACTCTTCTGTGGTCAGTTAAGAGTGCGTACATTTGATGCATTTTAAAATAGCCCTAAATATCTAATAAGGTACTCTTTGGAGTGAAAAAGTGGCTCTCTGTAAATTCAGTATGTTTCTGCCAGTCTCCAAGATGGCTTGGTCTCTCTTGCTTGTTCTTATCACAATGATCACAGCTGAGAATGTAGCCAAGGAGGTTCATTCTCTAAACCTAAAAATCCTTCAGCCAAAAAAGAGTTTTCTCCCTTTGATAATTTCATGTAACTAAAAAAAATTAGAGAGCTTCTTTCCTTGAATTAGGCACTTTGGCAATTGATTTCTAAGGGGATATTGATTTTGATTTTCCCCAGAAAAGCAGATGTGCTTTGATAGAGAAAGTTATTATTCTATCAATATTTCTTATCCCATAAGAAATTTATTATCTGTATAATATTTCACACAGGTAGAGTGAAGCAGAAAATGAACTATTGTGTGGTAAAATATATCAGAATATAATGTGGAGAAAAAGTATTTAGACCCATAAAATGATCTCTTTAGAAGTTTGTTTTCCTGATTTATCCAAATAATTGCCTCAATTCTTCTCTTTATTGTATACATAGCCTTAACTATATGCTTATACTCAGCTGAGCTGAATGCACAGTAACTTTATTAAAGGAGCACCTGGGCTCATTATTTCCTAAAGCAGAACATAGCCTGTTCTCCTTGGCATAAGCAAATGGTGTTTTCAACTTTATATCCATAAATGCACATAATAACAGGGAAAAATAGCCACAGTTCTCTTCCTCTATTCTCCTCAATTCCTTCTACAAGGGACTACTTGTTATTTATATAGTGATAAAGATAATATTCCATATCTTTGAAGTATAAGAGAGGCACAGTATAAGAATTATTTATAATTTTTTAATAGCAACTACTTGAAAAGGAACCTTATACAATTAGGGTATTATTTTTAGATTCAGTGAACATTTATAGTATATTAAAAATTAAATGTTTGAATTTTGCAGGTTTTTTAGTATTATGCACCTTTTAAGTTATCAAGCATCTTTGGCTACCACTATCAACTTGAAAACATTCCATTTGAAGTATCATCAAATATATATTTTGTAGGACAATTTATATATGGTATGATTTGACCTACCATATTAAAACATATTAAGCATCATGCTTTTAGCTGAAATTATATGTTTCCTTCTAAACATGCTGCAAATTTAATAGAGGTATATTGTGATTTAGGAAAATATAGGGAAGACAGTCATAACCCCTACTGAGGCTTAGCTGGATGGCTGGTGAGATCTGCACTAGACTTAAGAGAATGTAACATTTCATCTGCATCTGAACACATAAGGCTAAATGTGATGTCAGATTTTAAAGATTTGGTATTAATGTTTTTCTTAAATATAAAATTTCTTATAATTTTGATTGTTGCACCTTAGTCAATAATTGCCCAAAACATGATTTTTAATGTATATGTAAAAGATCTAAATTAAAACTAGATTTAAAGGGTAATATTTCCATTTGAAATTTTGTTCCCAGTCATATGCAGTAGTTAGTTCCCAGATGGAAAATGCTATGAGAGTAATGCTATCAAGTGCTTTTCATATTTTTATTTTACCACTGAACCATTTTAATATAAAAGAGTCTAAATATTATTTCTTAAGTTATTCAGTCTAAAATAGGAAATCTGTTAAAGCAGAGAATTTAGAAATTGTTTACTATAATTTCAAAATGAATTATATAGAGGAAGAATTAATAGGAAAAATATAAGTTGACAACTTATCCTTTTCCTTTTATATCAGAAAGTAAAACTGAAATGTACTATAATAATCCATAGATCTTGGGGGGGAGAATATTCTAGAAAATACTCTTCACATGTTATCTAAGAAAGTCTCACTAGTCTCATTAGTTTAATGACACTAATATATTTTATAAATACTGTAATACAGTAAGGGGAGTGGGAAAATTGTTTTGACTTTATTTCATCAGCACAGTAATTAAGAACAATAAAATAAGATGTTTTGTTATAATCAGATTTTTTTACTATTCTCTTAGTTATAATATCTCAAATTATACTAAGTACCTAACAACTGACATTTATACAGTTGTTGTATCATGTTTTAAGTTGCCAAATTCAGACATTTTCACTAACTACGAATAAAAGAATGACATACCATGCTGGAAGCAGAGAATTCATAATATGTGCTTTATACCAAAATGTATTGAATTGTGGGTAAAATTTACAGCTCATGTGTAGCTTCTGCCTGTTAAGAGACTCAGAACTGTTCTCTGCATTAGTTTTAACATCCTGTTTTCTGTCACTTTTTATCTGTTTTCTTAGCCTCATGTACAGTAATGTTAAGCTAATTTGATGAAGTGATTCAGGTTGTAGCAATGTATCAGTTTTCAGTTCTTCTGGGTGAGCAATATTGCTGCTATTTTCTAGAAATAGCAATCATTTAAAAATGCCAAACAGCTTACTGCTACCAACTTTCTTAAACATCATCTCTTAGAGAAGGAGATTTTCATGTGCCAATAATCATCAGAGAGGTATTTTGTAAGTGTTAATGATGTTCAGAAGTACATGAAAGAATTTTATCTCATAATTTGCTTGTGAGTGTAAAACAATATAATTCTTATAAATCTTTACTTTGTATGTATAAAACACAGTCTGTTGCACTTGAGTGATTTGGTCTATGGAATGTTAAATATCTACCTTCATTTAGCAGTAATATTCAGGTTTTGATTTTAGACAGTTAAGTCCATGCATTTAATTTTATCATATCTATATAAATGGGAAAAAGAAATATAGCTTACAAGTACTAAAAATTAAAAACCACCAATATTTTGTCAAGTTTTAAAATTTTAGCAAATTTTTTTTTTTTTTTGCGGTACGCGGGCCTCTCACCGTTGCGGCCTCTCCCGCTGTGGAGCGCAGGCTCTGGACGCGCAGGCTCAGCGGCCATGGCTCACGGGCCCAGCCGCTCCGCGGCACGCGGGATCCTCCCGGACCGGGGCGCCGCCTGCATCGGCAGGTGGACTCCCAACCACTGCACCACCAGGGAAGCCCTGTTTTAGCAAATTTAACATTATTCCGTCTCATTTGAAGGTTAAAAAAATGATTCTTATCTCTAGCCAAAGTTGAAATTTATATTCTACATGTCCAAACTGGTTCCTAGCAGCTTTTGGACTATATCTCACTTGATGTTATAGTATCTTTTATTTGTAATAAATGTTCAGATTTCTATTTAAAAGCTCTAATGTACATCTAGATTAAACGAAAACACAGGTTTATGCTTTTAAAATATGTTTTCAAAAGTATATTTTAATTTCTGAGAATGCATGTTATATAGTGTTTAATACTCCACATGTCTTAGCAAATCCAATATAAATATTTATTCCTACATGTGACACATGGGATATCTCTTAAAAACTATGAATATGTATCATTTCCTTCAAAGTCATTGTAACCTATAGTTGTATCAAAATTATTGTATATTTTATGGAGATTTAGTGATGTATATGTAAATGTTTTTTAAGTTATTTTATTGAAGTTCAATCTTTACATAAAATTTAACTCTTTTTTTAAAAAAAGTGTCAGTGCCAGAACTGTAAATGAAAATAGTCAAATAAAAGTTAAGACAATTCACTACTCATTTGTCTCCCTTGTAGTTTTGTATTTTATCCAATTCTTTTCCTTGGATTTTAGGATCTAGGTTACAAAGTAAAAGCATCTACAAAGATTACCTACCTCTATATATTTATGCAATGCTACTCATTTTAATGATGTTTTACCTCTTTTTGACCATGGTTAAACTTAACTACCTTTAAAACTGTTTTATAATAGTTTTATAAACTATTTAAAACTATATTTTAAAACTATAATAGTTTTATAAACCTAAAAATTATTGCAAGGAGTTATTCTAAATAGTAAATATAAAACTTTGAAATGAAGTACTCAGAAATCCTTGAAATATTGTTTCTTATTGTTGTCAGAACCAGAGGTTGACATGAACCATTGTGTCAGATTGACAAAAATTGTTTATGGTTGTTGCTTTGTAAATGAAAACAAAATACCTGCTGGATGACCAGTTGACAGTTCTTTTGGAATTCTGCTGCTCTTCATTGCCATTCTGCCCCAACTGTAGCTTTTATTAGTAAGCATTATATTATTGTTTGATCTGGGCAGCCATCAGACTTATCTCCATAGTTAGGGTGTGCCATCCTGAGCCCAACTATAAAACTAGTCTGAGGAGATCCTCTGAAGACACTAGATCCACTGTCACTCAAAGGCTTACAATGGAGTTGCATCTTAAGCAAGGATTCTCATGTCAGCAGGTAAGACAAAAATCCTACAGTCAAAATGACCCTTGAAAATCCCATAAGTTATGCATAAAGTGTCCACTCATCTGAATACCTGAATAGTGCAGTTCATATCTGTATCAGTGGTCAGAAAAGTCTTCATTTAATTGTCCAATCTTGTGGGGTAAATGTTGTCATCCTTTTGTGGATACTAAAACTTAAGTTCAGAACATTTTGGTGATTTGCCCAAGATCACACACTAGGAAGTGTTTACAAATTTTTTCTCTGCAGTGACTATGCCACACTCTTCCTCTCTTGGTCCTCATTTGGAATGTCTTCTTGTCGGATCCAGGCAGAAAGATTAAAAAATAGACATCATGTTATTGCTGTATTATAACTTAAAGGGTGTGAAGAAAAAGAATCAGATACCTCATTTTAACCTGG